TATCTCTGTCTCTGTGTCTCCATCTGTCTCTGCATCTCTGCCTCTGCCCCTGAATCTGCGTCTCTGTCCCTGGTCCCAGGTGGAACCCAGGGCCTTGTGTGCTCCAGGCACACACCGCACCACCCAGCATCAGCCCAGCCCTGGGTCCCTTTTCTCCTAACCCACAGCTGCCTTATTAGTTCCACGGAGAAAGAACGGCACCGCCTGGGAAATAAATTTCCACCCCACTGGAGTTAAAGCTTCAGCTACTATTCAGTGGCAGGCACAGAAATCACACTTTCTTTAACATCACATGACCTTCTGTCCCTGGACACCTGAGCACACAGGGGATGCAGGGGACCTCGTCACAGTTGGATCCCCGGCACTAGGTGTGTTTTCCGTGCGCCTGACCTGGGGAGGGGAAGGGAGGCCGATCTGTCTGTCCACTGTTCCTCTAGGAGCAGACACAGAGCATTACTTTACTGAGGGTGTGGGGGGCATGGGTTGTTTAAGAGGGTTGCTGGGGACCCATGGGAGACCCTCTTTCCCATCTACAGAGCAGGATTCTGATTGGCTGATGTTCAGAACATGCTAGAAAAATTCCCAACCTAGATGATCCCCAAGTATTCTGGAAACCCCGTGCCTGTCCCTGGGGTGACGGCTTGGCTGCTATGTGAATGCCCGAGGCCACCCTCCTGGGAAGCCCAAGATCACCACTCAAGGTCAGGGAGCTGAATGATCGGTGCTGGCATACTGGATGCCATGGCCCTGCCTGCTCTCACTTGGGCTGAGTGCTTCCTGCTTTCCAGGTTTATGATGGTGGGGGGTTTTGATAAAATGCAATGCGGAGCTGACCGGTCAGAGCCTCTGAATCTCCCATTCACACCCAATGTGCTCCTCCCCCTAAAGAAAGCTAACAGAACACATTTAACAAAAGCTAGCACAGTACCAGGTATGAAAAAGACAAATCAGTAAACGGATAACTTGATTAACTCAAAGCGATTTTGCCTGGCAGTGTGCTAACGTGTTTTCTGGGGGAGGTTGGGAGAGGCAGCCCTATATTTTTGGTATCAGTACTTGAACTCAGGACCTCACGCTTGCCAGGGAGTGCTGTGCTGCTAGGCTGTATCCCCAGCCTGAGGCAGCTATACTTTTGCTACTCCATAAATGATCAGTGGATCATGGTTCTGCTGTGACTGTCACCAAACACCATTTATTTCTCATTTCTTCATGATTGAGAAGTGATTTGACTGCTGACACAGAACCAACTTGTGCAAGGTTCGAGGCGCAGGTCTTGGGGGGAGCATCTGAAGTTTGCGTAGTTCATGGAAAGTAAATCGTAACCAAGCAAAGGCAGCTCGGCCTCTGTAGCTAAGACCAATGCCTTTGCTGTCTGTGGCGATTTACGCTTTGCATGGTACTTCTGCATGTTTTCCACTTGAAATTAAAGTGTAACATCTGACATTAGCCTCCTCCCCGGACCCCGTCACCACAGCAAAGGTCTTGTCTGTCAGCCGTGGGACGCGGGGCTTTGCCTCCTGCGCCCCTGTGAGGGTCCTTGTCCTCTGCAACCTGTGACGGGGAGACTGGAGCCTGGGCTCACGCTCTCCAGAACCTCACCCCATCACTGTTCCATCATCTCAATGACCACAGGCCGCAGAGTCGGGACAATCCCCCAGCCACGTGCGCCACCCACTTATACAGCTGCCTGGCTTCCTGCCTGTGAGCGCACCTGTGTGGGCTCTCTGTTCTAGGACCCCTGCGGGGGCGGCTTGAAAAGGCCTTCCACACCGTCATTTCTCCTGTTGCCCCCACGGTGTGCTTGGGCCAAGACCATACCTCTCTCCTCACAGATGCTTGCGCCCTTCCAGCCCTTCCAGTTGGCTCACCCTGTCTGTCTCCTCGCCCTCACATTCTGAGGGAAACCTGACCCATCACTCTGCACCGGCTGGCTGTCACCCCACCCCCACCTCAATGCAGCCCCCTCAGCCTTGTCAAAGTCATGGTGTCCTTTAAGCTGCAAAGCCCAGTGTCTGCTGACCCATCTCCCTCTGCACAGTACCCTCTCCACCCCCCGTCCCCCGGCCTCACAGCTGTGTCCTCCAGGGCCCGAGGGTCCCGACCTGGCTGGCTGCAGAGTCTGCCTCTCTCACAGCTTTGCCCTCCCACCCCGGGCTGAAAACCTCACTCATCAATGTGCCCCAAAACCACACACCGAGGGTCCATGCCCAGTAACAGAACTCACTGCCTCCTCCTAGTCCTGGAAACTGACCGCACAGATATTCAGCCAGAGACTCGGCTCCTTCATTTCTGACACTTGTGGCTGGAATGGCTTCTGCCTCAGACACACTGGACTCGGGCCACTGTCCTCGTCCTTGTCCCGCTGCACCCAAGACACAGATCAAAGCCTGCAGCTGGGTCAGCATGGGTGCCGGCCTGGTGCCAGGCATCAACCCTCACCACTCACAGTGCCCTCTGCACCATCGGGCCCTGGGCCTGACTGGGGCCTGCACAGGGTTCCGGCCCCCAGTCCCCAGGCCAAGACCTGCTCCACTCCGACAACCCAAGGCCCTGCCTGGCTCCTACGCACCCATAATGCTGCTGGGCCTGTGAGGACTTATGTTTCAGAAAGTGCACAGGAAATTCAAGTGAAAAGCCATGCAGAGAGCAAAGGAGCCAAGTACGTCCTCTGGTATTTACCACAAGGAAAGAAGCAGCTCCTCCTAATTTTCCCTGCTTAGCCTGGACAACTCGAAAACGCTTTTGGGTGCCAGGGATCAAGGCCAGGCCACCCGTGCTAAGGAGCTCAACCACCGCCCCACACCCTTCCTGAGGGTTTCAAAAACTTTTTTTTTTTTTTTTTTACTGCGGCTGGGGTGTAGCTCTGAGGCAGAGCACTTGGCTGGCATGTGGGAGGGAGGCCCAGGGTTCAATCTCAAGCACCACAACACACAATAAAACAAAACAGGTGATTCAATACCTTCAGGAAAATAAACTCAAGACCCTCGAGACCCGGCTTGTGACACTGGCAGACTTTCTCAAGGATTCAGTCCCAAAAAAGTACTGGATCTAGAAGCATCACATTTACTGTTAAAATACTTGATTTGTTTCTACTTTTATGATATTCTTTTTAAAGTCAGTCTTCTCCAAATGCACCAAGTGTTAATAGTTGGCATGCTACAGATTTGCCCTGACGGTTCCCTTGGGGGGGAGCATCAAATGTGACCCCGAAAGTCACACGCTCTAATAAGGTAAGTGGTGTGACACCTTCAGGAAAACCGGGAGAGCACTGCAGAAGCAGGGTGCATAGAACAATGAAAAGTAGTCTTTGCAGAGGAATATTATACATGCGATGGTAATCTCCTCATTCACACCCGCCTTGGCTGTGACTCATATTCTCCCCTGGCCTAGTGTACACACCTAACGGAAGGCAGCCCTGCTAGGTGTGTGTGAAAAGGTACTGTTCTCCTCGACACGGGAGCTGGCAGATAATCCCTGGGCCACCCCTGCTCTTCCCGAAGCTCAGAAGTCATGTAAGTGGGGCATTGTGCCCCAAACCCACACACGGAAGGTCCACGCCCAGGAAACAGGGCTCACGGCTGCCCCTTCCTAGCCCTGGCAACTGACCACATAGAGATTCAGCCAGAGCCAGACACACTGGCTCCACCATCTCTGACACCTGTGGCCTGAGTCACACTCATCCTACTGGCAGCTTCTGAATTTCAGCCTAGTGAGGGTTCCTATCCTCTGTGAGTGCCATGACAGGAGGAGGAGTGGGCCTGGATAATACAGCTCAGGTTCTTACTATTGCTCTAGATAACTTCGCCCTCCCCCACTACCTGAGCGACTTTGTGACCACTTTGGGCAAACACGGCATTAGCAGGCTGAGCACTTGACAGCTCAGCACAGTGTCAGGCTTCGGAAGGTCCAGAATGTGCCACTCCGACTCCCCCAGGAAAGGTTGGTCTGGAGATGCCATCAAGAACGGGGGAGAGGGCGTCCGTGCCCTGGTTCGTTAGGAGGAGGCTTCCTGTGTGGCTGTGCTTTGTCTGCCGCCAGGTAAAGGCAGGGGCTGCCCCTCTTCCTGGGCAGGTGCCACCCTGGCTCCTTTCTAGAGCCCTAGACACACTGCCTGCACATTGAGAGGCTAATTGGGAGTAAAAGTCACTTTAAGGATGGAAACAGAAGCTTTGAAAACAAGCAAATCTATCGTCATCTGGATACAGATGCTATGGCACACGAGCGCTCTGTGGAGAATGGGGTTCAGGGAAGGGCACCCCAGCTCTCATCCTGCACAGTGATTTTGGCACCAGCCTGGGAAGACAGGGTTCTGGAAACCACTGTGCCAGGCCGTATGAACTCAAAATACTGATGGGCTTGCACACGGACACACACACACACACACACACACACGCACTTTGGAGGGAACTGTAACAGAAATTGCTTTCTGAGAAGTTTAACACTATTTTCCTTCAAAGCCTGCTTTACCAAGTTACCAAGTGACAGTTCTCTTAAGAAATGTCAATCTGTCAAACAGAAAACTAAGCCCCCTTTCACAGAAGCAGCACCACCTGTAGGTGATGTGGATCTGTGCTCAGGAGGGCAACATGGACCGAACTGCATGGGGACACAGCACAGTGCGGGGGCACCTGGTCCAGGCTGTCTTGGGTGGCACACACCTCTCCCCCAGGCGCAGGCCATGGGTGCTGCGCATCGACTTGGTTCCCGCTTCCTCTTCCCCCTTTGAGTTTCCGAGCAGGCAGTGCTGGTCCTGCTGCTGTGACCTGACACGCAGTTACACTGCTCATTTAAACAACATGCGGAAAAAAGCACCGCTGACATTTGTGAAAGGCCTGCTGTCTCCCTGGTTGTCAGCACCAACGCAAACGTCTGCTCCAGAGGGAACAGAGTCAGCATTTAAAGAAAGGCACTGAACTGGTATTAAGGCTGTGTCTCAAGAAACAGCGTAGAAGAGGTTCCGTCTTCCACCACTTTAAACAGTCTGACCAGGACTGGCTTACCTGGGAATATTCAAAGTCCGTGATGGGAGCGATGCTCTTGATGTAATCTGACCGGAACTGGTTTTCAGGGTTGGCCAGGGGGACTGGGGGGATGATGGTGCTCATCGCTGAGACGATCGTCTAAAGGAGAGTGAAAAAGACAGAGAAGCGTAACGTGCAGGGTCCAGAGTCTCTGCCTGTTCTCACCATCATGCTCTGCTCAGCAAACATTTATTAAGGGAAAGTCCTTACCACAATAGCATCTTTGACGTTTTTTCGGATGTCCAGAATTTTCTGTTTCTTTTCCCTGTGTGGAAAGAGAATTGTTATTAAGCCACTTTCAGTGCTGATTAGAATCATTTGAGTGAGATTTTAAATTTCCAGTGAGGCTGTGGGCAGACCGGTTTCATGAGTGGATATTTGCTAAGCTTTACCCAGGAAACGAAAACATTTCTCTCTTCTAATCTAGACTCCAGACAAACTCAAATTCATCAGCTTAAAGAACCACGCAGCTCACACAAAAACGCAGTAAGATGTTACAGATGTGGCACACGGATGCACCTACGCCATCATGTTTAATCTACCCAAGTACCGATAGCCATGGACTGAAACAGCCATGGGCTGGTGACACTACACAGAAGAGTCCACAGACATTCACTGGCCACACGGGGTGTGTTTGACTGACTAAGGATTAAGATAGCTGGGCAACTTCATCTGCACTGAACTGTGTGGACGTTTTTCTGCCTGTCCCTTGCTTAACTGTGCAGCACCGCAACCCTTCACGAGGTGCTGGCACCATAAACCACCCGGAGGTGCTGTGAGGGATGAGAAGGGTTTGTGTGGGTCACAGGGAATCCTGCTGATTTACCTCAGGCTACCTGGAGCTCGGTACCTGCGGAGGCCCTCAGACACCCAAGAAGGACAAAGGCATTGGGTAGGAGCACTGGGGGCAACTCCAGACCCAGAAAAACCAAACAGATAGCATTTTGTTAAGCAAATCAGTTTTTAACTAAACAGTGCCGGAATTTGCTACTTAGGCCAAACTTGACAGCAAATGTCCATGTTCTCCCCTCTTGAATGTACTCTGACCGCGGGAACCTGCAGCCAGGGACTGGGAAGCTGCAAGGTGTGCGCGGTGTGGACTGCGAACCAGGGTGCTTACTCGGGGTTGAATCCGTTCACGTGCAGGATCCTCATCTGTTTGACGATTGTGCTTTTCCCAGACTCACCGGCCCCTAGGAGTAAACAAACACACGGTGGTCACCTGCGTGCCTGCCGAGTCGCCATCCCCACCGCTGCCCAAATGGCCGAGCTGGACCAGACCGGACCAGACTGTCCTGCCTCAGGGCTGTGCAGCCCTGCATCGCGTGGCAGCCGGGTCCTGAGGTCTTGAGGTCCTGGGGTTTGGGGTCCGGGGGTCGGCGCCCCCTTACCCAGCAGCAGCAGGCGGTGCGTGGCCTTGTACGCCAGGCGTTCCTTCTGCAGCTGTTTCTCGATCTTCTTGTTGGCCTCGCGCCGCTCCTTCTCGTCCACGCCCGTGTCCTCCGTGGTCTTGCTGTTGCCCAAGCAGCCCATGCTGCGCGCTCCCTCAGAAGCTGCAGGCGCGCTCCGGGGCGCGCGGGAGATCTGAGGCCTGCAGGGGTCCCTGGGTTGCGCGACAGCGTCGCCTCCCCGCTGCTGGAAGAGACGTGTGACTCGGCGTCCTCTCCTCCCCACTCTCCGCGGGGCGCGGGGCTCTGGGCGCGCAGAGCAGCGCTTCCCACGGGCGAGGGTGCCCACGGCCGCAGGCACCGCGCGCGAAAGAGATGGACGGTGGGGCTTCGCGCCAAGTTCGCCTTGTCCTCGGGTCCCGGTCTCCGCGTCTCCGCTCCGTGCCCCGTACCCGGCGTCCGCACCCCGGGTTCCCACTTCGCGCGCCCAGCACTACGCGCCCCGCTCGGTCCTTGGGACGGCGGGCTTCCCCTTGTCCTGATCCGAACAGCGGATCACGGAGCGCCACGGCCCTCTGTCTTCGGAAGGTTAAGGGACAGACATCAGCGTCTGCACTGGCTCAGGGGGAGGCCGAAGAGCTTACTTAGCTGCATGAGGGTCCCAGCCGCCTGTTCCTCTCCTCCCGCGCAGTGCCTGAGTTGCTCTGGGCGCTGCGCTCCGGAGAGGCCCGCGGATCATGCATATTCTATGAGGGGCCGGTCCCGAGACCCTATATAATGCATATTCTATGAGAGGGATGGACCGGAGGCCCGTGGCTCATGCATATTCGATAAGGGGGTGGCTCCCCCAGGCCTGAAATTAATGTATATTCTACGAGAGGGATGGTCCGAGGCCCGCGGATCATGCATATTCTATGAGGGGCGGGTCCTGAGGTGGGCGGATTGTGCATATTCTACGAGGAGGAGAGTCCCGAGACCCGCGATTATGCATAGTCTATGAGGGGTGGGCCCTAAGGTGCTTGCCTGCTTTGCCCCCTGCCTAGCCGCCTGTGCCCTCCTCACACCAACTCCCAGAATCCCAGGACTCATGATGGAGCTGCTGCGTTCCCGGGGAACGCTGCCGGCTGGACGGGTCCTGGTGTCTGTCCCTTGGTCTCCTGGAGACAGACGGAGCCGGAGCCTCCGGGTCAGGAAGGATTAGATGAGGAGGGGATGCGAAGGTGGCACGGGCACCCAGGCTCAGCATCCCTTGATGTAACCACGCACCCACTATGCAGTCGCTTCTGGTTGGTGATTGTAGGCAGGCGCCAGGCCTAATCCTGTCCACAGAGTAACTTATTTATATCTACGGTGACCCTAATGGCAGGAACTATCGTCCCCGTCATCTTAGGGCTGCGAAGGGTGAGTGAGAATGGTCCGGGTTGGCCTTGGCACACTGCTCCACCTGACAGACACAACACTGGGAGACAGAAACGCACCCTCCTTTCTCAGCGATGAAACGCTTCCCATGGAAGTGCAAAGCCACTTTCGTCTAGGATCAGGTAGGACTTCTTTACAGAAGCCTTTCCAGCAGTGCTGCGGATCAAACCAGGGCCTCATGCATGCCAGGCCAGGGCTCTACCCCTGGGCACGTTAGCCCCCAAACGGCTGCTTTTTAAACTGTAATCTGGCCTTTTGCCAGTCTAGTCTGGGAAGCTGACTGTCTTTTGTGCTTTGAACCACTGAGTCAGAGCTAGACTCCTAGCTGACTGATCTGGAGTCGCCAGGGAAGCTGCTAGGAAACTCTAAGCACCCAGGCTGCCTATGCTAGCAGCATCTGTTGCCAGGCAACCTCAGCACAACTTCATCTGCTCCCAGGCAGCAGGCATCCAGCTGCAGGGACCCGGGTTCACCTTGGGCAGCTCTGGCCAGCAGGGGCGGTGGCAGACAGGACGGAAAGTCCAGGCCCCAAAGGGCCACCGCCACTTCCAGGAGAACAGAAAAGGCACAAAACGGGCAAACAAGACCAAGGCAGGAAAAACAAACGGGTGTGTTTCTTTCTTTTGTTGATGTTTAAAGCCTAGAAGATTACTTATTTAAAGCCTAGAAAGGTTACTTATTTAAATCTGTTTTGTATGTAGTCTTGTGGATTCTGAGTAATGATTTAGAAGTTTGATTTTGGTCTCTCTGACTGAAGATGGCAAATGCTGAATGAGATGGTACCTGATCTCCGGTTCCCTGAAACCCGGTGCCAGGACAGCAGGCAGAGGGAAAGGAGGCTTCTGCAGGAAGCACCAAGCAGAGTTAACCTATGGCCAACAGCAAAGCCTCAGGGCTCCGAGCCAGTGGCAGAACTGGCAACACGAGATGCGGAAGGTAGACCTCAGCGAAGAGTCAACACATACAAGATTAACGCGAGGTCTTTCTGCAGAAATTATTCTCGAGAGGCCACCACAAACTAAACCTGCACACAAACTCCTGGCAGTGGTGCCTCAGAAATTTGAAAAGAACAAGGCAGTTTTGAGGGGGACGTCGGGGCCAGCAAGTGTCCCAGCTCCGTGCAGGCATGGTGCCACTGAGTATCTCATGCACACGGCTGCCGCTGGAGGCCTTTGTGACATTTGGGATGGTGGCCGATGCTCTGTCTCATTCACCTGAGTGGAAACAGCCTGTGGGGAGCACTCCATGACTGAACTGCAAGACACCTGACAGACACGGAGGCACCTTTCCTGCACTGTTACAGAGAAGCACAGGCCGAGTCTCACTTTTCCTTTTCTGTAACTTTCTCTGATCAAATTGCTCAGAGTTTATTGAAATAAAGTGTTTCCTGTTTTCTTAGTCCACGACTGAGTAGCTGTCGGAAGGGCTGTTGTCGGGCAGGGAGCTGACACCACCCAGCCTGAGCTCTGAAGGCCAACAGCAGCAGACCTGCAGGAGGGAATGGAAGTGTTCCTGACCCTGCCTCGGAAAGCCAGGGCTACAACAGCCCCACTCGGAGACCCCCATCACAGGTGGGGAGTTAGTTCACTAATGTGACAGGAGGTCAGAAGCCACCAAATGTTTTAAAATGCAAAACCAATGCCAGGAAGTAGTAAAAAGCATAACAAAGGGACAGAACAAGGCTGTGAACAGAACAAGGCTTCCAGTGCTTCACAATTCAGGGTTCTGGGAGGCTGAGGCAGGAGGAGTGAGAGCTCAGGCCCCTCCTGGGCAACTTAGCAAGACACTGTCTCAGAATAAAATCTAGTAAATAAGGGCTGAAGAGATAGCCCGAGGAAAGCTCCAGGCTTGAAAAAGAGAACTGCAGGAGCTGCCACCCTTCTGAGCTGTGGTTGGGGCGCATGCAGGTCTCGCCAGGGCCCAGGTGACTGAAGCCAAACCCATGGTGCTACGGGAGTGGGGCTGTCAAGAGCTGGGCTCTGGCAGGACTCCACTGGTCACTGGGGCTGTGTCCTGGGAGGGGACATTGAGACTGGCCTCCTTCTCCTCTGTGGTCACATGCAGGCCGCAGTGACCAGCTCTGCTGTGTGTTGACGTCATGATGCCTTCCTAGCTGTGGGTGGGGCCAAGATCTGAGCTGGGACCTCCTCTCTCATGAGCTAATTCGAGGCTGTGGTGCAGGTGTGAGGCTCAGGGGCTGGGAAGTGAGGTTCTGGAGAGAAACCGCATGCATCAGTATCACATTCAGAACACGTTTCACAGCCCAGAACTCAGACACCAGGCTCAGCACTGGGAAGAGACCAGGAGCAGCCCTGTCAACTCCACCCACTCCCCAACCCCAGATAGCCTTGTGGAATCTGTACGGCAGCAGCTGTTCAGACCTGGCTGGGGGGTGGGGAGATGGCTGCTCGGCTTGCATACAAATGTGAAGTTTCTGAGGATCAGACCAGCCTTAAGGTTACTTCCATCTTTATGGATTAACAAACACCAGGAGAAGCTGTGAAAGTTCTGCAGAGAAACCTACCCTACGTGAACAATGCACACATCTTAAGGAATACTGCATGGTAAATATTCCTGCATTTGGAGGTGGTTCTGGATTCTATGAGTTTCCCAGGTCTCCAGTAAGTGTATTTGTTAATGGATTTTCTTATAAAGTGAACTGGACTCCAGGGAGCATCTGACTGTGCTAGACTTCAGCCTCCCACTGCTCACAGCTGTCCTGGTGGTAACATCGAATCATGTGACCATTAGCTGCCAGGCTGCGGGCCGTAATCCCATGTTCACACTCATCCTTTGGCGCTGGCTGCTGCCTGCAGAGATGGTTTATAGCATGGGTAAGAAAAGCATGAGACCAATTTCTTCCATTCCTCAACAACTGGAGAAATGAGGCCAGTTATATGTTGAGCATCCCTAATCCAAAGCCCCGAGTTGGAGATGCTCCACCATCTGTCACCTTTTGAGCACTGAGCTGAGACCATGAATAAAAAGCCCAGGCAACAGGGCCCAGCCGAAACACAGGGCCCTGAGCATGTGTGCAGTGACCTCCAGGAGACAACACAGGATGGAATTTGAGGAAGCGGCGGCACCTGGGTTGCTGAGATGCCCACAGGTGGTAGAGACCTGCCATGGGGACACAGCCCATAGGGGACAGGGTGGGGGATACAGAAAGAGGGAGGCAGGCTGAACCTCTGCGGGGTGCCTGGTCCCAGGGAAGAGGCAGCAGGCGACCACCATGTGGGGCTCAGCTCAGTTGCTACTCACCCCAGTGCCCCCCAAGACAGCCGTTCTGGGGGGACGGTGAGCGGAGACTCTAGTGCTGGCTGTCCTGGAGTTCCCCGGGACTGTCCCGGTCCCTTCTGATGCTGGGGTATGCTGAAGTCAGTGGTGGGCGGGGACTGGTGAGCTTTGGGAACTGAGGCTGTGACCAGGCAGAGGGACAGACGCTTGCATGGTCCCTGAAATCATCACAGGCTCTGGATGTGCAGCGGCGGCAGTGACAAACCACTTTGGCACCTTCATCTTGACCAGCACAACGCGATGACTGTTCACTTCTTAATTTTCAAAACATGCTCTACTTACAGTCCTGCTTTCTGGTCTTTTGCTAGTGTACTGGTATTTTGCCTTAGAAAATAAGGCTTTGGTTTCTCCGTGTGTCCGTGAGGTGCAGTCCAAAGGTCACTATACACACGCTCAGGGCCCTGTGTTTCGGCTATGACCTACTGCCTGGGCTTTCCACTCGTGGTCTCAGCTCAGCTTTCTGCGTCAGCTTTCCATTTAGCTCCCAACCCTCTGCTGCTGGTCACCCATCCCACATCAAAGGCCACTCCTCAGGGACACCTGGGATTTCGCTCTTCGTTCCCTGGAACTGTCGCACCTCCACTCCTCTCCTCACTTTCCTTCTGTCCTCTCAGTAAATTCTTCTAGCTCTCTGCTCTCTTGCTTTTTTTTCTCAATCTTTTCCTTCTTTTCTCTGTATTAATCTGAGTATTATTAATGTTTACTTTTTCTCATCTACTGTATTTCTATTCCCGTCTCTCCCTAAGTTAGCAGAACAGTGGAGATCTTTCTGAACAAGTTCTCAGTTCTCAGGGCCCCAGCACCCCCACACTCAGGTGAGGGCAGCCTAGCTGGCCTCAAAATGCACATGTAATGTGTTTGCACTCACAAGGGAATACTATTCAGCTTCAGAAAAGGAACGACCCTGATCTAGGCGACAGGAGGAATGAACCTTGAAGACATCATGCAAGGTAAACTGAGGCATTCACCAGAGCATGAGCACATTCAGCTAGTGGTGGAA